AATTTTAGTTATATTAAGTGTTCCTGTGCTTTTGGTTTTTCCCCAGTATATTCTTGTTGATAGGCATTTTAGTCAGCAATACATACTTAGTAGGTTTTTCAAAACACGATTCTTATTATTTGTTAAATCTACTATTAATAAATCACTTTTTTAGAGGCAACAAGCATGAGTCACAGGAACAATATTAATAATTTTATAAGATAATCTGCATTGATCATCCATGAGTTAGGTGCCTGCAAATGCCTAAACCACACCCCAGATAAAAATTAAGTATTTTTCAAAGTCACATTGAATCTAATTGGTCTCTAAGATACCTTTTCTTTATCGAAGGATCAGCAATTGATGATGATTTAAGTAAGTTTTCTATTCTTAGCCACCTTCCATTCTCACTTACATTGTCTCTCTGGAACATTCCATCCATCCCCATGGCTTGAGGAACCACCGTAAAGCAGAGATTCCCAAAGCTACAACCCAACCTAGATCATTCCCTGAGCTCCAGTACAATACATCCTACTTTCTACTGTACAAATGCCTCAGGTATCCCGAGACAATCAAATTCCAACATGTCTACAACTGAGATCATCATCTCTCTCTCTCTCTTTCACAGTCCCTCTTCCTGGATTCAGTATCTTCGTAAGCACTGCCACCATGGTCTGTGAGCCCCTTGAGAACAAAGAGTATTTCTCAATGTCTCTGTTTTCCGAGGCCTAGCAGAGTCACTAGTACACAGTCAAGTGTTTACTCCAAGTTTGCTGAGTGAATAAGATTTAATGCCTTTCACAGAGTTGGCATTGAAGAAAGAAAAAGTGAATTAAAAAATGTCTTTCCTTTTAATTTAATTTCACTTGTTTTGATAAATCAAGTTAAAAATATAATGAGAATATACCTATTTAATGATCCCTGAGTACTTGCATGTTCATCTCCCCCCATAGGTACCATCATGGAGTCCCAGACTACCAAAACACACACACACACACAAGTTCTAGGATGATTAAGGTGGCTTGTCTGAATCACGGAGGAGGGAAACAATACTCAGTAGCTTCTCCTAACCTAGTTATGAGATACAATCAGGCTCCATGGACAGGCCTGTGGCAGCGCAGGGCTGTGATGCTCAAAACAAACTCTGTTCCTAAACACTTTAAAACAAAACAAAACAAAACAAGCTCACTGTCGTCGAATCAATTCCGACTCATAGCAACCCCACAGGACAGAGCAGAATTGCCCCACAGGGTAAACCTTTGTGGAAGCAGGCAGCTGGCTTTCTCCTGGAGTGTGGCCGGTGGGTTCCAACCACTGGACTTTTGGTTAGCACCTAAGCACTTTAACCACTCTGCCACCAGGGCTCCCCTAAACAGCTTAGAGAACAATTTTTCTATCTTTGAAGCTAAGGGATATCGTTCCTAAATTGGCATATTTTAAGGTCTTTCAGTGACATATCACCTGGTGCCATTAATATTCATCTCAATTGCCCATTAGCTATGAAAACAATAGCCATTAGTTAAGTAACATGCATTACTGATAATAACTAACTGTTATTGAGACTGTAATAAGCACTTTCACAAATCACTGCAGTCAATCCTCACAATAAGCCTCTCAGCCAGGAGTTGTCATCATCCCCATTTTACAGATGATGAAACTGAAGTTCAGACTGATTAAACCACAGATGGGCTACCGGTGGCAGTAACAGGATTCAAATTCAGATCTACCTGTCTCTACAACTTGTGCCTTTAACCACTGCTGCCTCTTAGAATGCATGTACTGGAGCTGCAATGCTACAGAAAAAACAGACAACAAACATACGTAACAAAGTGTGTGTGCACGTGTGCGTATATATATACACGCACACGTACACACACACATGTCAAAAACATGTTCTTCTCGAACACCAGGGAAATATTTTTCTTCACCATAAACAATTGGAGGAAAAACTGTAAAACAATAAATAATCCTAATTTGTGATAATCACAGACACTAGAAGAAATTAAGCCAGTTCTCCAGTGTGTTCTGAAACAAATCAGGCACTGTCTTCCAATCCTCACGTACCTGATTTTTCAAAGGCCCAAGGAAGCCTAGATTTTCTGCCATCCGCTGAGCTTGGCTGTCCTTTACCCCTTCAAAAATGTCAATTTTCTCCTAGTAAAAATGAATCAAATAAATGAAATTAGGACACTCAAGTGAGAAGATTTACAATCTCAAAAAAAATGCTTAGTATATATTTGCAAATGAGTAATTAAAAGTATGGCATCTTTCCAGGATCTCCAAGCAAGGCTACTGCGGCTGCCTAAAGGGTATGTTTTAATTAGCAGACCATCTATGGAACAGCCTTTCCAAAAACTATGTAATTCTTCAGGGTGGCATGCTGACAAGACAAGCTGATGCCAGTTTTCACTTTTAATTACTATACAGATGTCACTGATGAATATTTAGTCAGTTAATTTTTATGACATCTTTTGGGAGACTTCCAAAGTAAGGTTTTGCAGCCTAATATTGCTGTTAGGTTTAGAGCTTGTTATACATAGGTTAAATAGTACCTTATGATTTACACACCTTACTGATGATAATTATTAATAATACCTTAGCTTGACAAAGTGCCATTCTTCTAAAAGATACTGAGCGGTATTCATATTTATTACTTTATATATTCTCCTAACAAGTGGAATAATGTGTTTTAAATGATGTTAATTTTGAAAACGGTCAGGTATTATTGGTCAATCAGCATGTGAAGTCTCAATTTAACTACCCAGGTAGTTAACTTAAATAAGTAATATTAGTGAAAATATTTTCAAACCAATCACCGAAGTATGAGTAAATTATCTAGACAAAGAGAGTCAAGAAATAAAATCCCCCTTCTTGAAGAAAAAAAAAAAGATCACATTCTAAAAGACATATTTAAATTTTGAATGGGATTTTTTTAACACTAAGAGCCCAGAATTAAAACCTAGAATTACAGTGCTAAAGATCATGGATTTTTCTTCTTACAGAATATTCTGAGGTAGATTAAGAAAACACTTTCTACACATCACTCCATTTAATCCTCACAGTTCTATGTGGTGGAAATTACCCCCATTTCCATTTTACTGATATTAAAATGAGGTTTAGAGACATTAAGAAACTTGCTAGCTAGTTAGGATTTGAACTCACATCCTTCTGTCCAGAAATAAATCGTAATATCAATAAAAGGAATAAGATTTCAAGAACTGCAACAAACTGACAGAACCTGGACCTTAGAAAGATTCTGTTTTACATCAGTAGGAGTCACGATCGAAAGGCTGGTTGTTCGAACCTACCCAGAGGCACCTCGGGAGAGAGGCCTGGTGATCTCCTTGAAAACCCTATGAAGTACAGTTCTATTCTGCAACCCACAAGGTCACCATCAGTCAGAATCAACTCAATGGCAACTGGTTTGGTTTTTGGTTTGTTTTACATCAACAATACTGAGAGACATCAATACATTCTCTGGTTCACAGCTGGTATCCCAGGAGAGAACATGTGATCACAGGTGCTGTCACTGGGACAGAGTTAACCAAGAGGAAGTGGAAATATCATACCCCCTCCCAATGGTTAATTCTTGGGGCAAATTAGACAGAAAGGAACAAGGGAAGAAGAAGAGGTAGGAAGAGGAAAGAAGGGAGGGAGGAAAAAGGAAAGACAAAAACCCTTGAACAGTGAATTCCTTGCTTCGCCCAACCTTCAGGGGAGCCCTGATGGCACAGTGGTTAAAGCACTTGGCTGATAACGGAAAGGTCAGCAGTTCGAACCCACCAGCAGCTCTACTGGAGACAAGGCCTGGCGATCTGCTCCTGGAAAGATTACAGCCTATGTCTACTCTGTTATATGGGGTCGCTACGAGTCGGAATTGACTCGATGGCACCCGATACCACCACCCAACCTTCCACTGGACACCTAGTAAGGAAAAGGGCTCAACATTTTCATACATTAAATCCCAGAAACAGGTTTACTGCTGCTAGCCTCAGACTCCACATTAAACATTTAACAGCTTCTACAATAACAATCAATTAACACAATGCAGGCAGTAATTTAAACATACCTTAAAAATAAGTTCTGGAGAAGAAACTGCCACCTCTTCAATGTCAACGCCCCCCTGGGGACTGCCGACCAGAACGGGGCCATTGCAGGACCGATCCATCAGAATCGCCAAGTAGGTTTCTCTGGAAATGTCCAGGGCTTCAGCCACCATCACCTACCACAGTAGTGGGAAAGTCAAATTAACTCAGTATTGAGTTGATTTCCACTTGGAAATCTATACGAACTTGTGACACAAATCAAACAGCTTCATTTTCGGGCTCTTAAAGCCCTGCCACTGAGCTTCCCGAGATTCTAGAGTTGTGCTCTCCTGACACCCAGTGCCCATTTCCACCTCCTTAATTGATCCTGTTAACTTGTTCAAGTGACAGGTATTTGGTTTGCCTCAAGGAACCTTCCCACTTTAATCTTTTTTTTTTTTTTTTTTCCTTCCTTGAGAAACCCTGACACGTAAGAAAAACTCCAGGGAAGCAGCTGTTATTTTAATTTGAGATATTTAACAGTACATATATATTACTGCACTGATTTTTCTCAGATTTCACTGGTGGAAAATCAAGTTTGACTGCCAAAGAAGGATTCTTTTCACAGTATGTCTGATGCTTCATATGTTTGTATACTTCTGTCTCCTGGATTGCTGTATTTTATTTCATTTTATACTTTCTTTTAAATTACAAACATAATATTTGCTTGTTCAAAAATCACGCAAATGATATCAAAAGTATATAAACTAAAAAGTAAAAACAGCTCACTGCTGCATACCCCACCATACACACCCACGCCACACACACCCACGCCACACACACACACACACCCCACCACACACATACCCACTAGACACACACCCTTTGGGCCCTTTCAAGGTGGCACTGGTAGATCAGTGGAAGAATTCTCACCTTCCATGCAGGAGATCCAGGAGACCCCTGCCAATGCACCTGAGGTGCAGCCACCACCTGTCTGTCAGTGGAGGCTTACATCTTGCTGTGAGGCTGAACAGGTTTCAATAGAGCTTCTACACCAACACAGACTAGGAAGAAAGGCCTGTCGATTTACTTCTGAAAATCAGCCAGTAAAAACACTATGAATCACAATAGCCTAGTCCAATCTGCAAACAATCATGGGGTCAGCAAAGGAGCAGGCAGCCTTTAGTTTCTTTGTGCATGGGGTCGCCATGAGTCCTGGCTACTCTATGGCAACTAACGACAAGTCAAGGTGGCCACTAGTCCATATGGAACCTTTGTTATCATTGGAAAAAAGTGCCCTTTTCTCTGGAAGGATGGGGCCACGTGCTAGGACAATGACTGAGCAAGAGGTAGGTGGGATAGATGGAGTTGAGCCCTCATTCCCTGCCTTGGCCAGGTGCCCTTTTGCTCTGCACAAATTCAACAACTGAATGCAGCCAACTGTTCCGGGAGAAAACAAGATGAACTTTTTATTCTCCTCTCAATGCATCTGCAGGCACTACAGTAATGGAATCATCTTACACATGGAAGCGTATTATATATACTAGAATTCCTTTCTTTCATTTTTTCCTTTCTTAACACAACAGTGTGAACATCTGTCCAAGACCTTCTCTCTTTATAGTGACTAAGTATGTATATGCTGTTAGTTATTTAACCATGGATTCACTAGGCGAGGCAAATGTCTAAAACACTCAGCTGCTAACTGAAAGGGTGGAGGTTGGAGTCCACCCAGAGGGGCCTCAAAAGAAAGGCCTGGCAGTCTACTTCCAAAAAAGTCAGTCACTGAAAAGCCTATGGGGCACAGTTCTACTCTTGACACACATGACTTTACCATGAATCAGAATGGACTCAACTGCAACCAGCAGTGGTGCTGATTTAACCATGCCCTTAAACCAAAACCAAACCAAACCTGTTGCTGTTGAGTTGATTCTGACTCAGAGCAACCCTACAGGATAGGGCAGAACTGCCCCATAGGGTTTCCAAGGCTATAATCTTTATGAAAGTAGACTGCCATATCTTTTCTCCTGCGGAGCGGCTGGTAGGTTAGAATTGCTGACCTTTTGGTTAGCAGCTAATCGCTTTTAACCACTGCACCACCAAGCTCCCTACCATGCCCTTAACAACAGATATTTATGTGGCCTTCAATTTTCTAAACTGCTACTTCAATGATTATTTTTGTACACGTATCTTTGGTCATTTGTTTTACTATTCTTGCAGATAAGGTCCCTGGATCTAAAATGGCTAGGATTTAGGCTTTTTATATTTAGAATTTTGTAAGTACTGTCAAATTATCCCCAGAGAGGCTGTATCAACTTATACTCCCAACAAGAATGGTAAAAGATATGTTCAAACATTTTTAAAAGAAAATAAGGGCACTCCCATAAATAATCAGTAATAGAACTGAAAATAATAAGAGCACTTACATTGCTTTTCCTAAAAGTAGTTCAGTAAAAGCTTTTAAGAAAAATTGGCTAAACAGCATTCAATTTTAGCCACCCAGATATCATAAAAACACTAACTTTTAAGTCACATAAAATGGAATAAATACATGACGATTTAAAAAGATATAATGTAATGAATATATAACTCCCTCTTGAAATGTTTTTCAAATCTTTATAGAATTTATCACCAGTTAAGAAGAAAATACCTTATAAGAGGCTTCATACTGACTCTTTTATCATAAATGGCTAGAAGCTCCTCAGTATATAAAAACTATTTCTTGACACATGGCGTTAGAATTATCACAGAACCATTCTGATTTCAAGTTGGTTGTTCTTTCCAACAATACAGGCCAATGAAGGCCAATCTAACAGCAAATACCTAATTCTCCTCTCAGCGTTTAGGTTGTCTGAAACATAGTCAACTCTCAGAATTTCTGATTTAGGAGTGGGGAAATATTTGAAGCAAAAATATTTAGTACTATCCTTTCCTCATCAAATATATTAAGTTCAACGTATAGAAATAACATGGTTCACTTTATCAGCAATAACATTAATAAAACATTATAATTAAGGTAATCAGTTCTAAAAATCTCTCTAGAAGGAGAAAGCTGTTTTAAAAACTTTGGTAGGCACAAAATTCCAAATGAGGAGCATGTTTTGTTTGTGCTTTCAGGTCTATTGGCATAACTACTATTCACTTTCTAATGTGGGGTTAGTCTAGTAAGTAAGATTTAAAGATTTTTGGTAGTTATTCTTGGAAGCAACACAACATTATAACTTTTTAGGATAAGTGTCATTCAAGAGTCCTATTTTTAATCTTCTGAAATGTTGACAGATGTGCTCTGCATTCCATCAAAATTCTATTTGCAAAGACCAGATGCTACCTCAAACAACTCCTTCTTGGTAGAAATAATGTATTAGTCTTTAAGAAAAAGTCCCTAGGAAAATGAAGACTATCAATAGAAAATTCAAAAACATTTATATGAAGGCAATTTTTAATGTTATGCCATCTGTGACCCTGGATGCCAGAATATTTTAGAAATTGTTATAGAGAGAACCTAAATGGACTCCATGAACCCTTAGCCCAGGAGAAGCTTAGTTAGGCACATTGTGAAAAAGCTTCATCCATGAGTTACACAAGGAACGTCACCACACTTCCTTTCCAAAGTCCTCTTACATAGGAAGCTTTTTTACTTTCTTCACCCTACTTGACCACTGAACCTTTTTTTTTTAACATCAGTGCTACTCAAATTGTGGTATCTGGGTGAGTACCAGCATGCAAACTATTTGTAACAGGACTGTGAAGAGACAAGATTAAAAGTAAACTCTCAATTTCTGAACTTATCTCTGTGGAGCAGTAACCACTAGTGGCACTGAATCATAGACCACATGAGGAGCAGGACTGTGTGACATCCCTTGTTACCATCCCAAGAAGCACACAACACATGGGCACAGATTAATAAAAAAAATCTGGTGCGTTGTTTTCTTAAATAAAGCTTAGAAACTGAAAGTTTCTATAATCCGGGGGAAGTCTACCTAGAGGCACCTTGGAAGAAAGTCCTGGTGATCTACTTCCACAAAATCAGCTACTGAAAACCCTATGGAGCACAGTTCTACACACATGGGGTCTCCATGAGTTGGGACTGACTCGACAGCAACTGGTTTTGGTTTATAATCTGGGGACTTCTGCTTTTGAGAAGATAGAGTAGATGTACTTTTCCCTATTCCTCTTCCTAAATACAAGTAAAAACCTTGGACAATATATATAAAACAAACTTAAGAAGACTTGGAAAGGTAGATAGAAGAAGCCATATTAGCAAGGGAGCTCAGAATCCAAGGAACAACATAGTGATGAGTTCCCTGGGTCTCCTTTTTGACTCGTAAATCTCAGACTGGGTTCTAGAGAAGTCAGCAACCCAGAAACACCAAAGGCACAGACGAGAAATCTCCACGCCCGTATGTTTTCACTAGAGAATTCTATGAAACATTTAATTACCAACTATAAATAATCTCTTCCAGAAAATAGAAGAGGAGGAAACACTTCTCAATTTCTTTTATGAAGCTAATATTCACCTGATAGCAAAACCAGAAAAAGACAATACAAAAAAGGAAAGCTACACACCAATATGCCTCATGAATGTCCATGCAAAAATTCTTAATAAAATACTAGCAAGTATAATTAAATAATATATAAAGAGAATTATACACTATGATCAAGTGAGGTTTTTTCTAGGGACACACGGATTTTCAATATTTGAAAATCAATGCAATACTGCATTAACAGGCTAAAGAAAAAACTCACATGATTGTATCAATTAATGCAGAAAAAATTCATTTGACAGTATTCCGCACCTACTCCAGATAAAAACTCTCCTAAAAATAGAAATAGTGGAGTGTTTCCTCAGCTAGATAGAGAGCATCTTCAAAACACCTACAACTAACACTATACTTATAATGGTGAAAGACCGAATGCGTTCCCACTAAGATCAGGAACAAGGCAAGAAGGACTACTGTTACCACTCTTATTCAACACAGTACTGGAAGTTCTAGCCAGCAAAATAAGGAAAGAAAAGGTACACATATTGGAAAGGAAGACATAAAATCGTCCCTATTTGCAGACGACATGATCGGTTATAGAGAAAATCCCAAGGAATCTATCAAAAAAAAAAAAAAAAAACCCTAGAACTTATAATAATAAATAGGTTCAGCAAGGTCACAGGATACAAAATAAACATACAAAAATCACAGCATTTCTATATACCAGCAGTGGACACATGGATACCAAAATTGAGAATCTAACATCTTTGATAATGAATTAAAAAATGAAATATTTATATGCAAATCTAACAAAACACGTACCATACTTATCTGCTGGAAACTACAAAATGCTGATGAAAAAAATAAAAGTAGATCTAAGTAAATGGAGAGACACATCATGAACTGAAAGACTCAATATAGTTAAAATGGCAATTCTCTCTAAATTGATATATAGCTTTAACAAAATTCTATCAAAATCTGAGCAAGATTTTTTTCTTAAGATAAAGATTACTCTTAAGATTTATACAGAAAGCCACAGGATCTAGAATAGCTATGACAGTTTTGAAAAGAAAAAACTGAGAAGACAGTCTACCCAATTTAAAGAATTATTACATGGCTACAGTAATCACGACTGTGTGATATTGGTAGAGGGACAGGCACGTATATTAATGGAACAGAACAGAAAACCTAAAAATAAACCCACACAAATATGTGCACTTAACTTTTGATATTCAAAAGCACTTCAATGGAGGAAAGATCGCCGTTTCAGCAAAAGGTACTGGAGCAAGTAGAGTGCTGCAAGCAAAAAAAAAAAAAACCTCTACCTCAGTCTAGAAAAAAAAAAAAAAAAGGAGAAAATCTTTGGTATGTAGGCTGTTGTTATTAGTTGTCATCGAGTCAATTCTGACTCTGAAACCCCAGGTGTGTTCGAACTCATGGCGACCCCTGGGTAGGTTCAGACTGCCAACCTTCTGGCCAGTAGTCCAGTGCTTAACTTTTTGCACCACCCAAAGACCTAGTATGTAGGACAGGGCTAGGAAAAGAATTCTTAGACTTGATACTAGAAGAAAATATTTGCAAACTACACATCTGATAAGGGACTAGAATCTACTATAACTCTCAACACTCAAATAGTAAAAAAAAAAAAAAAAAAAACTAATTAGAAAACAGGTAAAACACATAAAGAAACAATTCACCAAAGGACATAGAGATGGCAAATAAGCACATGACAAGATGTCTAGCATCATTAACCATTAGGGAAATACAAATAAAACCACAATGAGATATCACTACACACCGATCAGAATGGCTAAAATAAAAATGACAACACTACAACACAGTAAAATGTTAAAAGTTTTTGTATCTGAGAGATGGGACTATGGGAAGCTTTTATTTTTATTATTTCAGCTTTTCAGTATTTTCCAAATTTTCCTTACTAAGCATGTGGCATTTAAAAAAAAAAAATTCTAAAAAAGGAAAAAAATAATGACACCACCAAATTCTGGCAAGGATGAGGAGAAACTGGACCACACATACACTGCGAGCAGGAATGAGAAATGGTTTGATCACTCTAGAAAACAGTTTGGAAATTTCTTAAAAAACTAAACATGCAACGGCCATGACTACATGCAACTGCCATGTGACTACACGCAACTGCCATGTGACTACACGCAACTGCCACGTGACTACACGCAACTGCCACGTGGCTACACGCGACTGCCATGTGACTACACGCAACTGCCATATGACCACATGCAACTGCCATATGTTTCAGCAATTGTGTTCTAAGGCATTTATCCCATAGAAATGAAAACTTACGTTCAAACAAGAATTTGTACACAAATGCTTACAAGCAGCTTTATTTGTAATAACCAAAAACGAAACAATCCAGATGTCTTCACTGGGTGAACAGTCAAACTATGGTACCTACATGGTAATATATATACACCATGGAATACTACATGGAATAAAAAGAAACACAACAACCTGGATGAATCTTCAGAAAATTATGCTGAGTGAAAAGGGGCAATGACCCAAAGTTATATATTGTATAACCTCATTTACATAAGATTATGGAAAGGACAAAACTATAGAAATGGAGACTAGATGAGTGATTACTACTACTACTACTACTACTATCCACTGCCGTTGAGTCCATTCCAACTTACAGCGACCCAACAGGACAGAGTAGAACAGCCCTAGAGGGTTTCCAAGAAGCGGCTGGTGGATTAGAACTGCTGACCTTCTGGTTAGCAGCCGAGGTCTTAACCACAGTGCCACCAGGGCTCCCGATTAGTGATGGCCGGGGGTTAAAGACGGAGTCTGGCAGGAGCAAATCAGATAGGTTTATAAAAGGGCTACATGAGGAATCCTTGTGGTGAAGGAAACGCTGTGCATCCTGACTGTATCAGTATCAGTATCCTAGTTGTGATACTGTACTATAGTTTTACAAGATGTTATTCATCGAAAGAAACTGGGCAAAGGGTACAGGGATCTCCCTGTATTATTTCTTATAACGACATGTGAATCTACAATTATCACAAAATAAAACGTTCATTTAAAAAAATTTCTGTAGTCCTAACGATAATTTTAATATCAGGTATTAATGTTTACTATGTTAGGCACTTATTACATGCACGTACTAATTTATTTCATCTTTAACAATCATATCAGGCAGGTTATTATTATTATTATTCCCATTTGAAAGTAAGACATGGGTTATTAAATGGTAGAACACCATTAAACATAATACTAAAAGAAAAAATAATAATTTCCACCTAAAAACTTCATTACTGTATTCCGGAACACATGCCTGGGATTTAAAGAAGTCCAATAAATACTTCCTGGACAATAATCAAATCTACCAGATTCTCATACGTATGAATCTCATTTATCACTAAAGTTTACCCTTGCTCTCCTCCCAAGCTGCAAGGCAAACACTGAACGATACACCATCACCATCAGTCGCCATCGACTCCTCTCTGACTCATAGCGACTCCATGTGTTTCAGTAAGAACTGTGCTCCATAGGTTTGCAGCTCATAACGGAATTTAAAAGGGAGCTAAAAGCACTGTGCCAAGCCAACCAAAAACAAAGCAACAAAATGAAACACTTGAGTTCTGAACAGTTCTTGCATCTGCCTGACAGGCAGTGGGAAAGGGAAATGATCATAAGCAGTTTTGTTTGCTCCCTCAATGTTTAGAAAGCCTTTGTGCTCTTAAGAGGATGGAGCTAATGACCCAACAGTATTCCAATCTCCCTCCCGCTCAGCGTCCTTTTCAGGGCCAGTACAGACCCTCTCATAGTAAGTACACTAGGAATCAGCTGATGGTTTTTTTAGGTCACGTCAAGAATTTTCCACAAAACTCTCTCTGAAAAGTGAAAACACACTGCCTCCGTGTCCCCAAGCACTGTACACTAGCAGAGATGATCAATCCATGATGCTGTGTCACCAGAGCTGACAGATACCTACCCAAATTGTGGCCCTAATTCACTGTTACATTGGGGCCTTTTAACCATCCACACTCCTGGGGCCAGTTTTATTGGCAAGGGACCTGTGTAGCTGCACAAGGCCTCATGCTCAGAAGGGCCCCACACTTGGTTTACTGCTCTACTGTTGCTGTCCAGAAACCTGACCAAGGGTTCCTGCATTTTAATTTTGCAGTGGACCCTGCAAATCCTGCAGCTGGTCCTAGGTACATGAGGGTGGTACAGCAAAAAGGGAAAAGACTGTCAGGAGGGAGAGTCAGATTCTGGCCTTAGCTCTGTCACTCACTATTTCACAACTAAGGACTAAGGCAGGCCACTTTGCTCTTCTGAGCTTATTTTCCGTGTGTGTGTGTGTGTGTATGTGTGTGTGTGTGTGTGTGTGTATGTGTGTGTATGCATGAGCACATGTGCACACACCTGTGTATGAGAGCATGTGTGTGCCCTGTGTGTACATGACAGCACGTGTGTGTGTGTGCATGTGTGTGTGTGTATGACAGAGATATACACTTGGGTGCTCCAGCAGACTTGACTAATTCAACATACTCACAGCAATAACAGGGGCTCAAAACAATAGTAACCTCAAAGGACGATATAGGGCACTTAGAAAAACAACAATCAGAACAGACAATTCTGATACACAGGACTGAGGGTGGGGTTGGGGGTGGGAAGATGTCCCCCACTGAGTATAAGAGCTCAGCTGTTTTACCAAGTCCTTCTCAGCTTTAAACAGAATGTGCCTGGGTTCTGAAAGTGACAGTCATTGTTCTGGTCACTCACTCCAACTCACTTTTGTCAAACACTGATAAAAAAAATAATACTGGTATTACAGAGCCATTTTCATTCTTCCTCAAAGTCATGTCAATCAGTAAACAGATTACGTGAGGTTTAAGAAACGAAATGCAAAGAGCAGTGCTTCATTAGATTCTGTCAAAACAGAAGCATGATTTTCCTTCCTTTTTTTTAAAACATATATATAGAAAATTACCAAAAGCAATCATATTACCTTGTTAACTTTCACACCATCTTTTGGAGTTTGCTTTGTTGCTAGATTATAACCAATCATCTGTTTAGCCAGCTGTCCCACAACTTTAGGGCTACGGAGAGAGAAAAAGAGAAAAGAAAATATATTTCCATGTTAAAAATCATTTTAAAGAAGTGTTTATATGTACCCATTTCCATGCTGCACAGGGTCCACATCCATCCTGTGGGTCTTTCCACTCATATACTATGTGCCTAGCACTGTGGCAGAGGTGAACAGAGAGGGGAAAAAATGCATGAATGAATGAAACATAAGATGCCTGCTTGCCTCTACTATTCTTTCCCCCAAATAACTTAGAGTCATAGATAAGAGACAAGGCTGAAATGCCAAAAAGATGTAGATAAGAGATGAAAATATAACAAAGATTTGATAGTGGGCAACTGAGGAAGTATTGAGCAGTGAGGGGGATACGAGAAGGCATAACAATCAAACTAAATAATATGAAAAGTTGTGTGACAGGAACAAGTAGGAGAGGACAGTGTTTGGTGCTGGGAGACATGGGAGGGAAAGCTGAAAAGACTGGCTTAGTTAAAGGAAAGCTTGGGCTATCATACAACTGATGCCACTGGTAATAGGGAGCCACTGCAAGTTCTTGAACAGGGGAGTGGCACTATGGAAGTGCAGCCCTGGCGGTGCAGTGGTTAAAAGCTCAGCTGCTCACCCAAAGGTAGGCAGTTCAAATTCACAAGCTGCTCCTTGGAAACCCTATGGGGCAGTTCTACTCTGTCTTACACAGTCGCTATGAGTCAGAATTGCCTCAACAGCAGCGGGTTTGGTTGTTATTATTATTTTGGGTATTATGTAAATAGCAGTTAATCTGCAAGTCATATCATTCCCAACATTAATTATGAATCACTAGTTTTCCAGAGAGGAGCAGTGTTAAGTTTTCACAAATTAGGACAGAAAAATCCTTAATGGGAGAAGAAAAACTGAGCATTGCCAGAGCCCACTACCTGTAACGTCTGTTCCCTCTACTTGCTGCCTCTGCTCCTGCCCTATCCCAACCGTCTTTCTCCGCGCTCCTTTCAGTCATGAACAGGATCTTCCATAATCACTTGGCCCAAAGAAAAGGAATTAAAACCTCCAGACTTACTCTTTTGTCAAATGAACGCCTCCTTTCAATCCGCTATTGAAGATACCTTTTCCTCTTCCTCCAGCTAAGATCTGGGCTTTTAAAACAATTTCTTTTGCATCTGAAAAAAGAAATATCCAGAGTTGGTAGCTGATTTTAAATTCTCTCTCTTTTTTTTAAAGCAACAAGGAAAGCGGTAATGACATACAACTTCAAAAGTGACTAGTAAAACTCTCTCAAACTAACTTTGAAAATAAAAGCAATAGAGAATTTCAAAAACACTCATGTGCCTAAATGCAAAGCTTATTTACTGAGGACTTTCAAATGCTTCCTTCTGGTTTAATCAGCTAATACTTGACCATCCCAAGGGAACAGAAGACGTGTACTCTTGCTCTTTTGCACTGACATAAGAAAGATGCTAAATAAATCCAGGACAGAAGTATTAGTTTTACTGTGTAATGACACTCCCATATGGCAGACGCACCAATCAGTAAGAGAAACTGCCTGTCAGCCACCTAAGACATCAAAGGGAAGACTGGATTATGTGGGGGGAAAGATTTAAAGACAAAAAGAAAGAGCAGTATTTAATAACTCTATTCATGGAAACCAACAATTTTCTAAGCAGTTGTTCTACATGTTGATAGGGTTGAGTGGGAAAAATGGATTAAAACTAAAAGCAAACAATATTTTACAACTTTTTGCAAGGTTACAAAACATGCCAGTGGAAAGTGGTTGTGGAATCTTCATTTCTAAACACACTCAAAGAAAGAGTGAACTGCCTGTTCTTAACCTTTTAGACCAGAGTCACAAACTCAAGTATATTTATGGGCCTGGCAGGACACAGGGCATGTGAAGCAGCTTGGGGATACCTGGGGCCTCTACCAAATAAGAGAGATCACCTCCACAACTGCAACAAAAAAAAAGGGAAGGGGGGAAGTAGGGAACCCCAAAGTCAAATCTGAACAGACCCATAACAAGGAAAGAGATTAAAGAAGTAATAAAAAAAAGAAACTCCCAACAACAACAAAAAAATCCTGGCCATGATGGCTTCACTGGAGAATTCTACCAAACATTTAGAGGAGAGCTCACACTAGTACTACTCAAATTATTTCAGCACATAGAAAAGGAAGGAAAACTCCTGAATTCATTCTATGAAGGCAGCATAACCCAGATAACCAAAGCCAGGCAAAGACACCACAAAAAAGAAAACTACAGACCAATATCTCTCATGAATATAGATGCAAAAATTCTCAACAAAATTCTAGCCGGTAGAATTCAGCATCATATAAAAAAAAACTATACACCACAACCAAGTGGGATTCATACTAGGTACGCAAGGATGGTTCAACATTAGAAAATCAATCAATGTAACCCATCACATAAATAGAACAAAGCAAAATAATTACATGATCATCTCAATGGAGACAGAAAAGGTATTTGATAAAGTTCAACACCCATTCCTGATAAAAACTCTCAATAAAATAGGAACAGAAAAAAATTCCTCAACATAATAAAGGGCATCTATACAAAACTAACAGCCAACATCATTCGCAATGGAGAGAGGCTGAAAACATTTCCCCTGAGAACAAGAACAAGACCAGGATGCCCTTTATCACCACTCCTACTTAACACTGTGCTGAAGTCCTAGCTAGAGCAATAAGGCAAGAAAAAGAAATACAAGGCATCCAAATTGGTTAAAGAAGAAGAAAAACTACCTCTATTCACAGATGATATGATCCTATAAATAGAGAACCCAAATTCCACAGGGAAACCAGTGGAACTAATAGAAAGATTCAGCAGAATAGCATGATAAAAGATTAATATACAAAAGTCAGTTGGATTCTTACACACCAACAAACAGAACTTTGAAAAGGAAATCACGAAAATAATACTATTTATAATAGCCTCTAAAAAGATAAAATATTTAGGAATAAATCTAACCAGGGACATAAAAGACCTATACAAAGAAAACTATGTAACACTATTGCAAGAAACCAAAAGAGACCTACGTAAATGGAAAAACCATGCTCATGGATAGAAGACAGCATTGTGAAAATGTCAATTCTACCCAAAGCTATCCACAGATATAAAGCAATCCCATTCCAAATACCAACAGCATACTTTAACGAGATGGAAAAACTAAACACCAACTTTACATGCAAAGGAAAGAGGCCCAGATAAGCAAAGCATTATTAAAAGAAAAAAACAAAGCAGGAAGCCTCACACTACCAGATCTCAAAACCTACTATACAGCCATGGTAGCCAAAACAGCCTGGTACTGGTACAATGACAGACACACAGACCAATGGAACAGAATCGAGAACTCAGATGTAAATCCATCCACCTATGGTCAGCTGATCTTTGACAAAGGACCAAAGTCCATTAAATGGGGAAAAGACAATCATTTTAACAAACAGTACTGGCAAAACTAGATGTCCATCTTTCAAAAAGTGAAACAGGACCCATACTTCACATCATACACAAAAACTAACTCAAAATGAAAGAAAAAGAGAGCCAACCCTAGGAGTTCTAATACATGGCATAAACTCAATACAAACTATAACTATCAATTCACAAATACCAGAAGATAGATTAGTTAACTGTGAGCTCCTAAAAATTAAACTTATGCGCATCAAAAGACTTCATCAAAAGAGTAAAAAGAGAACCTACAGACTGGGAAAAAAATTTTCACTACAACATATCCAACAAGGGTCCAACCTCTAAAATCTATACAATACTTCAACACCTCTATTACAAAAAGACAATCCAATAAAAAAATGTACAAAGGATATGGACAGACACGTCACCAAAGAAGACATTCAGGCAGCTAACAGACACATGAGGAAATGTCTGCAATCACTAGCCATTAGAGAAAGGCAAACCACAACTATGATCAGATACCATCTCACACAGACGTTACTGGTATGAATCAAAAAAACAGAAAATAACAAATGTTGGAGAAGTTGCAAGGAGATTGGAATTCTTATGCACTGCTGGTGGGAATGTAAAATAGTACAACCACTATGGAAAACGATATGGTGCCTCCTTAAAAAACTAGAAATAGAAATACCATGATCCAGCAATCCCACTCCTATGAATATATCCTAGAGAAATAAGAGCTGTCACATGAATAGATATATGCACACTCATGTTCCTTGCAGCACTGTTCACAATAGCAAAAAGACAAAAACAACCTAAGTGCCTATCAACAGACAAATGGATAAACAAATTATGGTACATACATACAATGAAATACTACATAATAATAAAGGACAGTGATGAATCTTTAAAACATCTCACAATGTGGATGAATCTGGAGGGCATTATGCTGAGTGAAATAATGCAATCACAAGAGGGCAAATATTATATGAGACCACTACTTTAAAAAACCCAAGAAAAGACTTATACACAGAAAAAACAATCTTTGACGGTTACGAGGCAGGGGAGGGTTGGGGAGGGGAGATCACTAACTAAATAACAGACAAGTGTTAACTTTGGTAAAAGGAAAGACAACACACAATACAGGAGAAGTCAGCACAGCTTGACCAAGGCAAAACCACAGAAGCTTTCTGGACACATCCAAACACCCTGAGAGACCGAGTTACCGGGGCTGAGGGATGGGGATCATGGTCTTGGGGGACATCTATGTCAATTGGTATAAAATAGTTCATAAAGAAAATGTTCTACATCCTACTTCACAGCCTGTAAGCCAGAGCTCTGCCGTCTGACTTGGCAGTCTTGGGATCTCTTGGGATCACCAACTCCTGCAGCTACATGAATCAGGAAAGCCCTCCAGCCTGACCTCCTGGGACAGTGCAGCCTCTACAACCATGTGAGCCATTTCCTAAATATAAATCTCTCTACATATACTTTACTCTTTACTGGTTTTGCTTCTCTAGAGAACTCAGCCTAAGACAGACGGTGAGAACCCAGGGTAGAAAGGCAAAGGGGAAGACTGCTGACACATGGAGGGGATTGCAACTAATGTCACGAAACAATTTGCTTATAAAATTTTTCAATGAAAAACTAATTTGCACTGTAAACTTTCACCTAAAGCACAATAAAATTAAAAAAAAATCACACTAAGATAAAATATTGAAATCTACAGAAATGGAGGAAGACAAATTCCAAATAAAATATTAAAAAAAAAATAAAGAACTGACTGATAATGCATGTGAAAGCTTTATCCCAAGGCCTGACAACTCATATGGTTAATTAAAGAGTACTGCCACCATCAATAAGTTCATTTATTGTCTGTGTATACTGTAAAGAATCCAAAGGACCATTTCCACTACAGCAGAGATGATAACAAAACTTTCATTTGTTGGGTTCTTAATATCTAACACCACTCATGTTAGTGAGTGTTCCATAAGTATCGGCTACTTCAGCTATTACTGTCGTTTTGTTACTCATAGGGAAGCTCTTAGGCAAAGCTTCAAACAGAAAGAGCCACAGAGGTTTTGCCATGAAAGCAATGGAGAGCCACAGAAGGATATCACACTAAAGAGGCACTGGATCAGATGGTCACCCAGCTGATATAGTTGCCTTATTAAGGTTGTTTGTCTTTACTGGTTGGCTTTCCTTTCTCCTATATCTGCAGCTTCTTTACATTCAGAAAACCAGGGCTTATCTCCCTCTCAAATGAAAACACAGTTCCTTCTTTGCTGCCCCCCACACCCTGTGACAGCAGTTTCTACCCTGGAGATGAACCATCATAACATCAGTCAAGCTGTGACCTAAAAGAAACTGGTTCCCATCAAGCCGGATGGAAGATAAGCCATGATCACTGCTCATGTTAGAAACTCACCAGGAAAGGAACAGAGGGTGAATTCTGTATACAAGAAAAACAGTTAAGAGCAAGAATTTTTGAGTCATATAGATCTGGGTTAACATCTCCAACTCCACCTATCACTTTCTTTACAAAGGAGACTGAAATTCAGAAGGGAAAAAGTAGCATGCAGGTCTGTAAAATGGTAAAAAACAAAATAATCTATATTTTTATGCTAATGTTAAGAGTAAACAAAATACAGTAGTTCAAGTGCTTAGCTCAATGCCCGAAACATTAAAGAAATAGTCAAAAATGATAGCTATCATCATTATAATTATTTTCAGCGACTGTCC